GAAAACGAACGACCATTGGATTTGGCCTGAGCAACTGTCCTCGCGACACGCTCGGCCTGTCCCCAGATCTCTTCACAGAGGAAAAAAAATATCTAAATATATTAATTTTTTTTCACATCATATCTTAATTAAAAAGTCAAAAATTATTAAAATAGCCTATTCTCAAATCAAGGGTGTTTTAAGAATTAACTTTTTGTGTCTTTCAAGTTTTTATAGAAAGGCGTGTAAAAAAATAAGGAAAATAATATTTTTTTATAATAACATTTTAACTAAAATATCAATTTATCAAAATAAACCTAAATGAGAGTATATTAGATATTTAAACATGAATATTAAAAAAACTTCATGTTATCAAAATAAACCTAAATGAGAGTATATTAGATATTTAAACATGAATACTAAAAAAACTTCATGTTACCAAAATAAACCTAAATGAGAGTAGCCTAGAAATTTATACATGTACACTTTTTAATACTAAAAAACAATTGTTTCATTTTAATGCCAAAAATAAATAAATAAATAAATGTTGTAAGATAAAAATTATTTTTTAAAAGAGTAAACATCATATAATGGCAGCATTGTCTTACTTTTACGGAGTCCGGATCGTCTGTCGCGGTTGCCTACGGCGCTTCCTGCGGTGGTCCAAAACGACGTCTTTTTGGACTCATTTTTTTTTTTTCCCCCACTACAATATTTCTTAGTTTAGTGACATTTGAAAGGCCACAAACTATTCCTCTAATGACATTTTTGGTCTTGTGGGCATTTTGAACAAGTGCCACTTCTATCGGTGCCATAATAGATACGAGTGCCACGGTAGATACTTGCAATCAGTCCACTGCACCATCATAGCTGAAAACTTTCAATGACATTTTAATGTCATGGTAGATATTATTTGTGGCACTATCAAGGGCCATTTAAAAAGATTAGTGACACTTTGTAAGTATCATTACACCATCAAGACTAAAACCTTTCAGTGACACTTTAATGTCATGGTAGGCACTATTTGTGACGCTATCAGTGCCATTCATGACGATAATTCGTTGTAGAACAATTTGATCCGCTTGCGGAAACTTGAACCGCCAACCTTCCGCACCATAAACCTTATACACCACACTCTTCCCACTACACCTCTGTAGCACCACATGATTATATATGCAACATATATTATTTATATAGTACATACATCCATATTAATATAAAAGTATATGTATAAACATAATATTTTTATGAATATAATTTATGTAAAATAAACTATTTACTACCAAAAATAAAAAAAGACCACTTTTGGCGACTAAAAAATATTTTTTTAGTCGCCAATTCTATACTTTTGGCTACTAATTGTTTTTTAGTTGCTAAAAAACTTAACTTTTGTCGATTGACCAAAATCGGATTTGGTCGCCGAAGATGCACTTTCAACTACCAAAATTTTGATCACCAAAAAATTTTATTTCTGCCTTAGGATTTTAGTTCTCCCGCGCTAAAAATGACCACTTTTGGCGACTAAACTTATTTTTTAGTCGCCAATTGTAGACTTTTGGCTATTAAATTTTTTTAGTCGCCAAAAAGCTTTACTTTTGGCAACTAATGCTGTTTTGGTCGCTGAAAGCTATACTTTCAGCGACCAAATTTTTTTGGTCAGGAAATTTAGTCGCCGAATATGCTTTTTCCTGTAGCGTATATTGAGTTTAATTCATTTATTTTTAATCATTTTCTGCATTTTAAAAATTTAGGAAATATATTGGCATTTTTTGTTTTTTCAAAAATGTCATTATAAGCTTGGAAAGTTTTTGGCTTAGTGGCATTTCTCAAAATGCTATAAAATATTTGTTTATGACACTTTTCACCTAAGTGCCATAAAAATTAATTTGTACCTATCTAGTGTCCTGACATTTTTTAAAAAATGCCATTGCAACTAAAGTTTAGTGGCATCTGTTGGTAAATGTCACAAACATAATTTTTTGTATCATTATTTTATAAAATGTCATAAAATTGATGTGACATTTCTTTATTGAAATGCTACTAGAGCCTTATATGTTTTGTGGTTCTGTGGCATTTTTCTAAAACATTTAATGCCAATTTTTATTTTTGTGGCATTTTCTAAAAACAGGCTACTAGTGTAGTGTCACTAAAGTATAAATTTGTTGTAGTGACATTTTTGTTGTAGTGAAGTGACACTTTTTTTAATTGAAATGCCACTAGAGCCTTGTATGTTTGTGGCTCTATGACATTTTTCTAAAAAATGCCACCAAATATTCTTTTTGTGACATTTTTTAAGAACATGCCACTAGTATGGTGTCACTAAAATATGTTTTTGTTGTAGTGTTGTGACACTTGCTCATTGAAATGTCACTAGAGGCTTTTATGTTTGTCATTTTGTGGCATTTTTCAAAAACGTGCCACTAAATATCATTTTTGTGGCATTTTCTAAAAATATGCCACTAGTGTAGTGCCACTAAAGTATGTTTTTATTGTAGTTTTGTGACACTTGTTCATTGAAATGTCACTAGAGCTTTTGATGTTTGTCGTTTTGTGGCATTTTTCAAAAGCGTGCCACTAAATTTCATTTTTTGTGGCATTTTCTAAAAATATGCCACTAGTGTAGTGCCACTAAAGTATGTTTTTGTTGTAGTACCCTTCTTCTTTTGCTTTCATTTCAGCCTCTTTTTCACTTCATCATTTTTACTTCACAAGGAGCCAAAACACCACAGAACTTTAAGCAAAACCAGACTCTCTTTCTCTCTCTCTTACTGCCGGCAACTAAAAAATGAATATCTCGATGACCAACTTGTGTTTTCGAACTCGCATTGCTCTCGTCTCCTTCCACCGCCATCACGTCTTTCACGAAAAACACTAATCAAGAACACATATCAATTTAGTTTCGAAGTTATTCGATCTTTTTTACCTCATTTTGTTCAGAATTTGTTTTGCTTTTTAGATTGATCTATGTGTGATCTAATGAGACTATTGATTATGATGATCCGATGATCTAAGATTGTGTTAATTGTTGGGGTGAATTTTGATTAGTCACAGTAACCTTTATAACAACAACCAAAAAAAAATAAAAAAAAGAAGAAGAAGAAGAAGACTTTAACTGATGGTTTTGATTAATTGAGAAGACTTTGGGGAACTTGAGGGACTTAATCCAACAAAACACAGATCACATACCATAATCACAAACCATAACAACTCTAATAACAGATCATGATTCAATCACAACCCCAATAATTACAATCAAATGAGTTATACATATATATGTAGAGAGAGAGAGTATGTAGCAAACACGAGGGACAACAATCTCCGGAAATGGGCGACGACAACAAAGAGTGGTGAGGAAAACGACGAATAGTGGATCTGGTGATAACGATTGTGTCCTCGAAGCTCTGTTCCACTTGATTTTTTATTTTTTTTATTTTTTATTTTTTTTGCGACGAAGGATCTTTGATGCTCTATAAAGATCTTTCAAGAAGATTCGCTGTCAGAGGCTGATTTCGTCACGGTGATGCAAATCGGAACAGATCTGAGACCATTGAAGCAGATTGGAGGAAGATGACCAAGTTTATCGGCTTCTCCGATCATCCTCATCAACTCTGCCATCGTGATGTACCTGTTTCCATCCCGATCAAACATCATGAACAACTTCTTCTCAGTTCTGTGGTGTTTTGGCTCCTTGTGAAGTAAAAATGATGAAGTGAAAAGTGGCTAAAACGAAAGCAAAAGTCCAAAACGACGTCGTTTTGGACAGCCGCAGGAAGTGTCGCAAGCAACCGCAGTAGACGATCCGAACTCTACTTTTACCGGTTTGTGAGGTGAGAGACAACAACCCCATTTACAAGTGGGACCTAGCTGCTTAGGTGGCATCATTCAGTCATTTCTTCGTTCATTACTAAGGGTCTATAGCATTTCTCGTTTGGAAACTCTTAAATAAGTCATATCTTTTGTCAATTCTTTTAGGTAAATTAAAAATACACCTCCTGAGCATTGCTTAAAATACGAATTGCCTCTTGTAGTTTGAAAAATTACAAATACTTCCCTGTCAGAATTTTTTATTTAATAGAATTAATTGAGAAAGTGATATTTTTAACTGTTCACCTATACAATAATAAAATTATCTAAATTATTAATTGAAATAAAATTTTAGCATTATTAAAAAACTGTTAATTAACTTGATGTTAATTAATAAAAAGACCTATTTGTTATGAAATTAGAAACCTTAGGAGACATAATATAATTTCTAAAACTACATGGGTTAATTTATAATTTAAGTAAATCTCAGGGGGTGTGTTTGTAATTTGTCCATTTTTTTCTTGTTCAATTCATCTTGTGTAATATGAATTTAAAATGTAAATTTTTTTATTTAAGTTTCAAAAAAAATTTGAAAAGGCCAAAATAATTATAAAAAAAAAGTTCAATATTTTTTTGCTTATTTTTGTCAAATCTGAAGGTTTCTTTTCTAAGAATTTTTTAGAATTTTTTTTTTAATTTGTGTAATTGAGTAGAATTTAAATTTTTTTGAAAAATTAAAAACAAATATAAGACACCAAAAAAAACTACATATTAAAAAAAACAAATCTCAAACACCCGCGTAGACATCTCCATTACTTCTATTACAAATCTCATGTTAATTATCCATTACTTCTATTACAAATCTATCTCATAGCACATCTCAAAAGGTGGAATTGTGAAGTGTCTGGAAACATTGATGAGCAATTGAAACAAGCTGAGGCTGAACACCATGACTGGGATATTAAGGCTGAAGGTACAAACCTGCTGGAACATGAGGTCAAAAGGAGAAGGGAGGTTAGAAGGCTAGTTTGGGAACTGAACAAAAAGAATGAGTGGTTATGGCATCAAAAAACCAGACTGACATGGATAGCCAATGGGGACAAAAATACAAGGTTCTTTCATATCTTGGCTAGTAGCAGGCAGAGAAAAAATTTGTTAGATTCTATCAAAGAGAATGGTGTCATCTATGAGCAGCCAGATGTTATGAAACAAACAGTGGTGAGATATTTTAGCCAATTGTTTTCTGAGGATTGGAAGATTAGGCCAAAACTGTCAAGTGCATTTGTCATAATTGGTCCTAAAGACTCAGAGTTGCTAGAGGCAGAGTTTTCAGAGGAGGAAATTTAGGAAGCAGTCAATGATTATGATGGAAATAAAGCCCCAGGGCCTGATGGGTTTAATTTATCTTACATCCAGAAATGCTGGAATATAAGGAAAAGAGAGGTAGTGCAACTTATGTCCGATTTCCATTCTAATGGTAAGTTGGCTCGAGGTGTGAACAGTTCATTCATTACTTTAATTCCCAAAAAAGATAATTCATTGGGTCTGAGTGATTATAGGCCTATTAGTTTGGTAAGTTCAGTACGCAAAATTGTTGCCAAGGTCTTATCTAGAAGATTGAGAAAGGTACTTCCAAAGATTATTAGTGAAGTGCAAACGGCCTTTTTGAGTGGAAGGAGTATCCTAGATGGGGTGCTAATTGCCAATGAAGTGGTACATTGGTGGAAGAGATCAAAGAAACAAGGCATCATCCTTAAACTGGATTTTGAGAGGGCATATAATTCAATAAATTGGGAGTTCTTGTATTCAATGTTGACCAACTTTGGTTTTGGAAAGAAATGGGTAAAGTGGATAAAAACATGTATCTTTACAGCTAGAGTCTTAGTGCTAGTTAACGGCTCACCCACAACAGAATTTTCTCCAATGAAAGGCCTCAGGCAAGGTGACCCACTTTCACCCTTCCTTTTTAACGTTGTTGCAGAGGGCCTTAACTTATTGATGTCAAGAGCTAAAGAAATGGGTTTGATAAGAGGAGCGTCAATTGGTCCAAATGATTTGAGATTATCTCACCTTCAGTTTGCAGATGATATCATTATATTTTGTGAAGCAGATTGGGAGGAAATTATTGCTATTAAGCGAATTCTTAGATGTTTTGAGATATTGTCTGGATTAAAAATTAATTTCTACAAAAGTCAGGTTTGTGGAATAGGTGTGCCGGATGATCTAGTGAAAGAATTTGCAAATAGGCTCAATTGCCATAGCCAAAAGCTGCCTTTGAAGTATCTGGGTCTGCCATTAGGAGCAAATCCAAGGAGAAAGAGCACCTGGCAGCCAATGGTGGGTAATTTTAAGAAGAAGCTAGCTCTATGGAAGAGAAGGTGCTTGTCTTTTGCAGGTAGAGTAACCTTGATAAGATCAGTGCTGTCTAGTTTGCCAGTCTATTTTTTATCTCTGTTTAAAATGCCAGTGGGTATTGTAAAATCACTTGAAAAAATTCAGTCTAATTTCCTCTGGGGAGGATCTGAATTAAGGAGAAAAATACATTTAGTTAGTTGGAAGGAGGTATGCTTGAGCAAGTTACAAGGAGGGCTAGGGGTCAGAGATTTAAAGGAGGTAAATGATTGCCTACTTCTTAAGTGGTGGTAGAGGTATGGTAGGGAGGAGAATGCTTTGTGGAAAGAGGTGTTGTGTAGCAAGTATGGAGGGTTTGGTGGCAAATGGAGTCCGTTACCTGTGGTTTCAAGTATGATATCTATTCTGTAACAAGATGTCTTATCAGTGAATTTATCTAATCCTTCCTTGAGTGCATTCTTTTTCAACAATGTCAAAACAGTAGTGGGAAATGGTAGAAGGATTCGGTTTTGGGTTGATAGATGGTTTAGCAATCAAAGTCTTAGTGAAGCCTTTCCCAGATTTTTTTCATTGTCAACAGAAAAAGGAGAGTCACTGATCCATTTTGTCCAAAGGAAAGGAGAGGGTCGCAACTGGAAGCTTGTTTTTAGAAGGCCCCTATTTGCTTGGCAAGAGGAGGAAGTGTCCAACTTGAATGTTTTGTTGCATAATGCACCTACTATAAATTCTTTGGTTGAAGATTCTTGTCTCTGGTTAGCTCACTCTTCTAGGTTTTTTACTGTGGCATCAGTGTGGAAATCTTTGGAATCATCCAAAGGTCCTGTTAAATCAATTACAAGGACCATTTGGGGGAATATAGCTCCACCCAAAGTGCAATTCTTGAGTTGGATAGCTTGGAGAGGTAGGATTAAATCCTCAGCTTTTTTGCTTAGGATTGGAGTGTTGAATCCAAATGTCAATCCACTGTGTGTGTTTTGCAAATTTGAAGTGGAGACCATGAATCATGTGCTACTTCACTGTCATTTGATATGTGGAGTCTGGTTTGAAATTGTCAATTGGTGGAATTTGAGTTAGTGCATCCCAGGTTCAATGGAGGATCTACTTCAATGGTGGTCAGGTATTAAACAGAAGACTAAGGTGAAGGAAATTTGGAAGGTAGTTCCTTTAGCAATGTTGTGGTATGTATGGAAACTCAGAAATGAGTGTTTGTTTAAAGAGGCAAATCCAGATTTTGCAGAATTAATAGAGTTGGTGAAGGTTAGAGTTTCTTTATGGGAAAAATCCAATTTGAAAGAGATGCAGTACTCAGTGCATGACATTGTATCTAATTTGAAGCAGGTATGTTATTGAGTATAGATGGGATTCAAAGTTGTTGATCTGTATCTAATTTGTACCTAGTTACTGATGTTGTTTCCAGTTGTTGCTATTAGTTAGAGTTGGCTGATCTATCATATGCTGCATAGCTAATCTGTTCTGTACTCCTCTGGCTCTTTGCTGCTCTGGCTGATTTGGTTGTTGGTTTGAGTGGAGTTCCTGGCACCAAAACTTGTGGTTTGTTCTGTTTTGCTGATTTGGCTTGATGATTGGTTGCTGAGGCTGTTGTGATCTGTGTTGCATTGGTTCCAATTGGTGGCTACTCCATCCTCCCCTGGCTACTGCTGTTAGGAATAGGATTAAGCCTGAATTGGTTGAAGGAGTAGGCTCAAGTCTGGTGGTTTGGTAGTTGTTTGAACTGGTTGTTGGTTTGAATTAGCTTCTTGATTGGCTGCTGCTATATGTGTTCTGCTCCTGGTATGCATACTGCTGCTATATGATGTTTTGGTGTGCTTGCTACTGCTGTATTGGAGTCTAAATGATTTGGATATGTTCTTTGCTGTCTTGTTTGCTTGTTCTCTCTTTGGTTGGTTTCTCATCTGAAAAATCTAGAAATCCCCTAGATGTTGATTTGTGATTATGTATCAATTTTAAGCAGTATATAACAATCCCAATCAAATAATCAAAACAAATCAACACAACAATTTTACGTGGAAAAACCACAATTGGACACCTCCAATTGTGATAAAAAAAATCATGGGCAACAGCCACAAAACAATCCACTAAGAAGATATAAAGGAATTACACAGGTATACTCTCAATTATCTAGCGAATCCACACCCGAATTGAACCAACCTCTATGTGTCTCTTCCAACCCCGTCTTCACCTCGAAATTGCCTTGACAATGAGCCACTCCGGAATCCACCAAAGCTCCAAGCTCGAATTCTTCAGAATCCACTGAAGAACAACTCTCTCTTTTATGTAGAACAAACAAATAATCCTTTGATGTATACTCTTTAAACCATGAGTTGAATACTCAATCAAAACATCAAAAAAAACTAGCAAAATATCCCCAGATATACCCTAGAACCCAAGAAGAAGATCTGGAGAAGTAATCCTAAAATCTGACAGAAACACATACTTATAGAAATCTGAATCGCGATGCTCGCTCGAGCGAGGAACCAAAAACGCGTGTTTTCCATAAGTGGCTTCGCTTGAGCCACGCACCCTTCGCTCGAGCGAGCAACGCAAGCTTCGCTCAAGCGCACATTCATCTCTTTCAGGTTTTTAGCCAGACGCAGTCTTCACTCGAGCGAGCACTCCTTCGCTCGAGCAAGCAAGGGCGGACATACAACTTTGAATGCAATTTTGCATTTTGTTTCGGGGGCGCTGCCCCTCGACCCTGCCGTGGCGCTGCCCCGGACCCACCAAGGGGCGTTGCCCCCTCGACCCTCGCGAGCTGACCGGGAAGCTCGATCCCTGTCATAATCAGCGAAGTGACAATCTTGAAAGTATTAACATCACAAACTTCTCTGTAAGGCACAATTCGGGTTGGATTCGCATCTAAAAACTCATAGCCTCACTGAAATAAAAAGTGCGAAAACAAATACAACTGAAAGGAGTTTTGTCAAACGGGATTGCCAAAAATAAAAACCCAACATCATCAACCTGTCGGCTTGAGCTAGCAGATGATTGTGCATTCTCCTTCGTGCCAACCTAGTTGGGATTAGGGAGGTTTGCTATTGCTCTTGCCTCCCCTCCTTGTTGATGTATACCATGATGTATTTTTGTTATGTTATCATCAATAAAGAGCTTTCTTTGCTGATCAAAAAATGTTAATAATTTAGATTAATTACTAATTGGATAATTATAAACATCAGTAATGATAGAGATCCCTACAAAACACAACCCCTACGACCCCCAAAATGATCTGAACCATTCATATCACTGTCAGAGATAGAAAAAAAAATTCAAATACATCAATGGTCAATACATCAGTGGGGGTCATGAGGGTCCTCTTTTGTGAGGATCCCAAACATTTTCCTTATAAACATATTGTAAACATATGATTTTATTATATTTATTTTTAAAAATAGATGATAGGTGTGATTTAAAAATAAATTATTTATTTTTGTTAGATAAATATAATAAATTTATGTGACTATTATTTACTATTAAGTTATATCAAGTTTCAATATAAATAATAAAGTCTTAATTTTTATAAATTATTGTTAAAATTTCAATTCTCCATAACAGTATATTGTATGCCCATATAACTAGGACTAGCCATTGGCCCAATGGCCTGCCCACCCCACCTAGACCAGCCTAATATTTTTTGAGCTTGGGAAAAATATTTCCTACACAAAAATCTTGAGTTTATTTAATTTTTGGGTTGGATTTAGGATAAAGTTTTTGTCCAGCACCGTCCGCTCACTTAAAAATTTTTAATTTTAATTTTAATTTTTGTATTATTTAGTTACAAAATAATTTTTTTTCCTAAAAAGTTAAAAAAGAATAAAGAAAAATGCACACACATATATATACAATTCTTTTTATAACTTAAACTAAGGAACTTCTTAAGAGTTCATCTTTATTTCATAACTAAATTTTATTGATATTTTAAAATCAAATAATTATTAAAAGGGTTTAAATAATTTAATAGCCTTTCAAGACTCCTCCAA